ATGATTATAAGCTTGCTTTGTTTTTTATACACTGAGATTTGTGCCACGGATCAAATATTGAATTAAGAAAACTCCAAACTATCATGCAGTAAAATAAAAGCAGAGATCAAGCGGTAACAGGAGGCCTATGGTAAAGGCCATCTGAGAGCGCTTTATAAACGTGGAATGCTGTGGTGTGGTTGCAAGGCAGCAAAGACTGCTTTGGTCCCCCGATCTCTTTCCAACATAGGGTCTGCGTGAAGGTCCATAAAGAGGGCTTGTGCAAGAACTCTGGGAAAGAATGCAACTTCTGCTCACAAGACTCAGGAGGTCTTTGCAGGTGGGAGCTTGCAAGGTCAGAAAGCCTTGCAGGGCAGAGATAACTGGAACGCCACAGATTCTGCCTATGTTCTCAGAATATAGAGTCATTCTGATTGCTCTGTGTCCACAATGCTCAGGAGATAAAAGCCCCTTGATGCATTGTGTGTGGTCAAATCTTATGGTGCCTTACCTGCAGTGCCTCTTGGCTGATGCACCTGGTTAGACTATGGGTGGTAAAAACTCAGCGTCCTTAGTTAGCATTTCTTAGAAGAACCACATTTTCTATTGAATGCTGCAGACACATGCTCTCCTCCACCACTAACTTCTTTTTCAACCCCCCTCCTCACAGCCTGCAAGATTAACAAGATAATGCACCCAATAAATGCATGTGGAGCCCAGAGCTCAGTGCCAATGCGGATCACCCCTGGACCCATGCTGTGAACTTCTACTCTTGTCCCTGTCTTATTTCTTTTCTCACTACCTCATCACCACTGGGACACGACACAGGACATGCACGTACAGGGTTGGGCTGGTTCCCAACAATGGAAAGCTGAAGCCACTGGGAGCTGGAAGAACTAAATCAGACTCCCCCCTAGAGCTTCTGAAGGAGCCAGACTTGATGACTCCAAGATCTCAGCCCAGTGAAATTGATTCTGGACTTCTGGTCTCCAGAGCTATGAGAGATGCTATTCCTGTTGTTTTGAGCTATCACAGTTTTTGAGAACTTGTTACAGTACCCCAGGACACTAACATAAATGGGGCTTAGGGAAAATCTAGACTAAAGGTGCTTTGTTGATTTGCAATCTCCTTCCTTAAATTTCTAATACTAGAAATAAATAGATTGGTGGAAAATTTTGTGATTGAAGAAATGTACATAAATACTACGGTGTACAGAGAGGCATCTGCTAGTTATAAGATAAATATAGATAATTTTAGTTGAAATGATATGTGACTAGTAATATTTCACATAACATTCTGAGTTATTCAAGGCAGCATAAAAAGTGCATTAGATTCTCTTCTCATGTATGTGCGTGTGTCTATCTATAGATGTATGTACAGCTCATGGTGCATCAGCTGGTACAACCCTCAGGACACGACTTCTTGTCCACAGTGCCCCATTTCACACAAGAGGAAACTGTTCATGAGAGCACATGGCTGATTTATGGCTGATTTGCATAAAAGTCACTTGATCAGCAGTTTTTGAAGCTGAAGTTGGAATCTAGGACTTCCTGACCTTAACTATGCTCCTTCCACAGAGCCACATTCATTCCATAGAGGAACCCACAACCTATAAAACCAGAGACGAGACAAAGCTAGAGATGCAGGGTGGATTTCTTAACACAAGGTCAGTGCTACCTCTGCTCCTCATCACGCCGACACTCAGCTTAAACTCAGGCCCTTCTACAGTTTTGTCTACAAAGGTCAACTTGCTCAAAACCTTTACAAACTTTTTTTTATATACAGAAGAAACTTTTTTTATATGCAGCAGCAACGTCAAGTCTTGCATGTCCCTGACCACATTTCGTCTTCTCTGCCATCCCCATCTCTCTGACTCAGTCCTTGCTTCTCAGATTGTGTCTTGTACAGCTAATTTCCCTTCGAATGTTAAAACAGCAAACCCATAGCCCCTCCTCTTCTCATGTGATGTGAGAGATGACCTCGAGGCTCTCAGATACCAAGACTGTAGAAGACCTAACCCAGAGATTGACTTCACAGACTTTCTACATAGGAAGAATTCTGGGTCTACCTTTCCTCGTAGAAAAATGTTCTCTGATTCTTGTCAAAATTGACAGCAAAAGATGACAACATAGAACTGTTTGGGAGAACAGAGGACAGTGATACACTCAGGGAAGTAACAGACACCCCTCCCCTTGCATTGGTTTCCTGTTGCTGCTGTAGCAAATTACCACAACCTTACTGGCTCCACATAACACACGTGTATTATATTACCTTTCTGGAGGTCAGAAGTCTCGATGAAGTAAAATCAAGAAGTAATAAGGCTGTATTCATTCTGGAGGCTTCAGGAGAGAGAATCCAATCTCCAGCTTTCCATCTTTCAGATGTTCCCATATTCCTGGCTCCATGGGCCCTTCCTATGTCATTCCAGCATTCCTCTCCATTGTCCCAAATCCATTCTGGCAATGATGCTACTCCCTCTCTATTATAAGAACCTTTGTGATTATGCTGGTCTCATCCAGATAATTCAGAATACTTTCCTGACCTCCAAATTATTATCCATGTCTGCCAAGTTATTTTTGACATATTCATAAGTAATATTCATAGATTCCAGATATTAGAACAATGATGTCTTTAGGGAAGTGCATTATTCATTCCACAAACAATTCTCATCATCCCCACAATGGCCTTGCCCTAAGGTAGAATAAAAATGTCATAAGGCAGATTTATGAGGCAATAGACCTAGAAAAAACCTTGAGACTCCAGGATTCTCTGATGTGTGGATCTCAGATTCTGGGGCGATTCTGATTCTCTGCTCTGAGTGGACTCCATGGTGTGCAGCCATTTGTGGAAGGCTTCTTTGATTTTGTGACCTAGAAAAAATGGATCTCTGCTAAAAGAAAATCTAAGGAAGGCTAGCAAAGGGAATTTAAATATTTCTTAAATTTTCTGAATTTTCTTATGCATTAACACATGAGAAGTGGCAGTAATTCAAACCAAGATGTCTTCCAAGAATGAGGATTTTTCAAATGTTTAAGGTGGGGTCCCCCCAGTGAGAAGGATGACAAAGATTTTCATGCGGGCAGTGTATTTACAACTTGCAGGAAATAAGCAAGTGAGCAAGGGAGGGGAGGAGGAACAGTGAAACATCTCTCAGCAAGGAGCCACCTCTGAGGATAACAAGAGCTCAAGCCCACACAGAGACACAGGAAAAAATGCTTCTGTTTTTCTACCTGAGAGGTGAGGGAGCTGGGGTATATCTACACCTCTCATGGAATTACTGATTGATAGCGGTCCTAGAGGTTGTTAATTTTAGGCAATAAGGTCTGCCACATTTGTAGGCAGAGCTGCCTTCCCCAGGTTCAGTGAGAGCAGTGAGGGGCAAACAGAGCCACAGAGAGTCAGCTGAAGTACAATGAATAGAAACACCAAGGTGTAGTAACAATGACTGCTAAAATTACACAGAAAGAAAAAAGTGCATTTGAATCCAGAGATGTATCTCTCTGAATCTGGTCATCTGGATCTTGGCAGGCTGTTTGGTAGCCATTTCCCTAAAATTCAGTCCTTGGAGAAGCAGGAGGAGGTTTGTGCACAGGCAGCACTATCTTGGTCTGGCTACTCCTAGTTGTGCATGAGAAATACTCCCTGAAGTCCCTGGGCGTCAGTCCACTGATACTGATGCAATTGGCTGCACTGCCCCTGCTGCTGAAGCAGGCCAACATGACCCGGGCAAGGGCAGCTGTGTGAGGTATTGAGGTTCAAATCAGTGCTTAAGGTTTATCTGGATTCAAAATATTTTTTTCGTCTATGTGGGCAGCGGCATGGCAGGAGATAGAGACTCTCTCTAACTGGATGTGAAACAGGGAGGCTGGCATCTGGGTCAGGATGATGTCCTCACTCACTGCTGAAGAGTAAAAGAGGAAAGGGTTACTGATGGTGCACAGCAAGAACATGCACTGAGCAGCAGCCGCCCTCACTAAGGAGAGAGGGTTCACTGACCCGACCTTTCCCCATGGCCTCCCCCTCACCTGCTCTCCAGAAAGACAGGCTATGGGGCTGATGCACCTGAGACCCCAGAAACAGAATGGTGCAGAGTGGAGCTCAGAGCATTACCCAGAAAATGTGGCCTTTCTCATCCTGCTTTGAAACAATTGATTATTTGAGCCTAGATTGATTGAGGGCTTCAAGTGGTTCCTAATCCAGCCTCCTAAAGTTAGTGAGTAGAATAGAGATTTTAATTGAAATAATCAGACTTGGCATTACTAGTCAGCCCTCCATGCTGGTGACCATAAGAAAACATACCCAAATGCAGGAAAAAGGATAGAATATAAGGATCCTTATGCCAAGAATCAGATGCAACCCATTTAGCCCTGGGTTTAAAGAGACCCATAGCTCTGGATAACGGCAGAATTATGGGTGGCGTAAGTATCATCTTTGTGCATCTTCAGCTAACCGCTTTTTCTTATAGTGTTAAGGACAGTGGCTAAAGTTTTTTAGCAAATTCTATTGAATTTATTAAACGCACTTCTGATGAAGCCTTATTTCCATTTAATAAACAAACATTTTAACACTGACAGACATTGTTAGTATAGCACTAAATACTTTTGCACTCATCAAATTCATTTGAGAGAGACGTTGTTATACAGCAGTAAACACAGAGTCATCAGATTCCTTAGAGAGAAACTGAAATTTATGACAGCCCCACATTCTACAACTTTATTATGAATTTTCTGCCAAAAATGATGCTTTCCTATACCTAATACAAGTATAAAATACATTATTTAATCTAGCCTTAGGTTAATTTAAAATTTTGAACTTTCACTCCAAAAATATGTTCTGTATCCATATGGCCACCAAAGAAAAGTATATTTTCTCAAGGTAAGTCTGTGCTGCCCTGATCTGACCTGGGACCCAGGGGACACTGCCCCTGTGCTGAGTTACTGAGATAGGCCAGCCCTGCAGCTGTGCCCAGCCCGCCCCATCCCCTGCTGATTTGCATGTCCTAGAACACAGCCCCCTGCCCTGAAGACTTCTTAATAGGCTGGTCACACCCTGTGCAGGAGTCAGTCCCAGTCAGGACACAGCATGGACATGAGGGTCCCCGCTCAGCTCCTGGGGCTCCTGCTGCTCTGGCTCCCAGGTAAGAAAGGAGGATACTAGAAATTCACTCAGCCCAGTGTGCTCAGTACTGCTGGAACTACAGGGAAGTCCTCTGATAACATGATTAATAGTATGAATATTTGTTTTTATGTTTCCAATCTCAGGTACCAGATGTGATATCCAGATGACCCAGTCTCCATCCTTTCTGTCTGCATCTGTAGGAGACAGAGTCACCATCACTTGCCGGGCGAGTCAGGGCATTAGCAGTTGTTTAGCCTGGTATCAGCAGAAACCAGGGAAAACTCCTAGGCTCCTGATCTATGCTGCATCTAGTTTGCAAACTGGGATTCCCTCTCGGTTCAGTGGCAGTGGATCTGGGACAGAATACACTCTCACCATCAGCAGCCTGCAGCCTGATGATTTTGCCACTTATTACTGTCAACAAGCTTATAGTACTCCTCCCACAGTGTTACAAGTCATAACATAAACCACCAAGGAAGCAGATGTGTGAGGCAGGGCTGCCCCAGATGCTTCTCCTGGTGCTCTATCTGCTGAGAGCATTTCTCATACTCAGTCAGGTTTTGTGAAAGTCATTGGGAGATTATCACAGAGCGGGTCATGGAGGCTTCTTTGAACCCTAAGCCTCTTCCGCCCTCATCCACAGCAGAAAAGATGTGACAGTGCTTGCCTTGTCTTGATTCAATAAAAAAGAGAGATACATTCAGTTGAGAAGTCTGTATAATGAGATAATTGAAATTCATACAGCAAAAGAGTAGCTACTCTCGGTATTCCAAGGAGAAATTGTTGAAGTTGAATAAATTGGAGTCTAAAAGACAGTTTTTTTGAAGCCTACAGTATGTTATTCATGAAGCATGTACTAGAGATAGGGGATTCTCAGGTGCTCCTCCAGAAGCCAGAGTGCAGCTCCCTCTGTTGGTATGTACCGAGTACCTGTGTGATGATCCTCAGATCTGTTTGCGAAACCCAGGGTCGGGGGTGCTGATGCTCTCAGCTGTCTGCAGCACCTCTCTAGGTGATTCTTCCATCCACACCTAACTCCACGTGTTTTACTTCAGGTGTCAGTGTACATGAATCCACCACTCTGACTTCCAAATCTCATGGAAGGGCCCCTCATTGAGCAACTCTAAAGAAACCAGAGAGAGAAAAGGGGTTTTGGGAAATGTGCTTCCAAAAGTGATAGTAATGATGGGGAATTGACAGCTGACAGGCAAGTAAGGTGACTCTTTCCATAAGTCTCAAAAGTTTGCCAGTTAAAAATTGTCCCAGAATACATTTAAATGTGCTTTCAAGTGTTACAAGCAAGTTTGGGATCACAGCAAGGAAACTTTATTATGTCACAGATAAAATTGGAAAATCAGGAAATTGTATGAAATATACAATGAGGTTGTGTGTGATTGTTCAAGCCTGTAATTCTGTGATAATTAATACTGAGTGTCAACCTGCTAAGATTGAAGGATGTAAGTATTGTTCCTGGCTGTGTCTGCGAGGGTGTTGCTAAAGGAGAGTAATATTTGAGTCAGTGGGCTGGGGAAGGCAGACCCACCCTTAATTTGGATGGACACAATCCAATCAACTGCCAGCACGACTAGACTACAAGCAGGCAGAAAAATGTGAAAAAAGAGCAAGGAGCGTCAGTCGAGTCCCAAAATGGAAGAACATGGAGTCTGATGTTTGAGGGCAGGAAGTGTCCAGAATTGGAGAAAGATGTAGGCTGGGAGGCTAGGCCAGTCTCTTCTTTTCACTTTCTGCCTGCTTTATATTTGCTGGTAGTGGATTAGATTATGCCCACCAGATTAAAGGTGGATCTGCCTTCCCCAGCCCACTGACTCCAATGTTTTTCTCTTTTGGCAGCACCCTCACAGACACTCCCATGATCAATACTTTGTATCCTTCAATTCTATCAAGTTGACGCTCAGCATTAACCATCACACTTCCATTTATATGCATATATATACATCAAGATATATATATATATATATTTTTTCTTGATGACTCATTTATTTTATTTTAGTTCATTTATTTGCCCTGGGTTTCCTGTACTCCCCTCTTTCCACTCCCCTGTGAAGGACATATAACCATTTGGACCTCACTATGTATTTTGGTAACCAATCTCTTGTGATTTTTTTCTTCTGCATTTTAAAGAATTTTTTTTTCTTACCTCCTTCTCCTATTATTTGTGTTTTTATGATTTATCTTAGAGTACAAATAGGAAGTTTCCCTCTTTTCCTCTAAACAAGTAAGTTCCTCAAAATTCAGTCCCTTGGATAAGCAGCAGGAGGGTGTATGCAGAGGCTTTGCCACAGTAATTTGATCACTCCTAGTTAAGCATCAGTAATAGTTCCTAGAACCCCAGACTGCAGCCCACTGATGCTGATTTCCTTCAGTCCACTTCCTCTGCTACTGAACCAGGCTGAGATGCCTTGGCCCCTGTTAAAGATGTGAGATATAATGGGTGCAAATCTGTGTTCAGTTTTGTCCAAATCCAAGTGATTTCTCCATATACATGGACATTTGCTGGATAAGAGATGGAGACACTCTGTCCTGGATGTGAGACAGGAGGCGGGCATCTGGGTTAGGGTGACGTTCCCTCACTGCTGAAGAGTAAAAGAGGAAGGTGGCATTGATAGTGCAAGGCAGGGACATGCCTTGAGCAGCAGCTGCCCTCACTAGAAGAGAGGATTCACTGTCCTGGTCTTTCCCAAGGTCTCCTCCTCACCTGCTTTTCAGGAGCAGCTCCTAAGCTCCTAGGAACATGCTGGTGGGGAGTGCAGCTCAGAGCATTACTTAGGGGATATGATCTTGCTCTTTTTTATTATAAAGACAATTAATCCCTGGATAATTTCAAGTTTATCCTAACCCATGCTTTTATAAGTGGAGGAAGAAACAAGTGACTTTTTAATTTTTTTAATCATCAGATCTGGCATCACTAGTTAACCCTTTATGCTGATGAATCCTGGGAAGAAATAACCAATGACAGAAAAGGTAATAGAATATGGAGGTCCCTAAACCAAAAATAAGATGCATTCCATAAAATCCCTGGCATTAAAGAGGTCCATAGGTTTGAATAATGGTAGATCTGTGAGCCATACACACTTTGAGGAGACAGAGTATCATCTTTATGTATCTTCAGGGAATTGCTTGAACACATAGTGATAATAATAATGGATTAAAGTCATCCCAAAATACTTGCAAATATATTTAGCATTATCTTGAGAAATTTCCTTTTTTAAAAAAGTGAAGAAACACTTTCACACTCACAAAAATGTTGTATCAAGATCAAGCATGGAAATTATTTATATTTTTTATATTAAAAAAAATGCTGTAAACATACCACAAAGTATCCTGTTCCCTTTCAGATCATATTGAATACCTAATATCACACGCTCTAAAACTCTACTGTGAGTTTCCTGCAGAGAAGAATATTCTCCCAAATAATCCCCATACACCAATGGAGTACATTATTTCATCAGGTACTCAGCAGTATTTCAAATTTTGAGAAGTATCAAAAAACACGCTTTGTTATAAAATGGTCCCCAGGAAGAAACACATTATTTACAGACAAATCTATGCTGTCCTGGTTTGACCTGGGAGCTTCGGGACACTGCCCCTGTGCTGAGTTATGGAGATGAGCCAGCCCTGCAGCTATGCCCAGTCAGCTTCATCCACTGCTGATTTGCATGTTCTCAGAGCACAGCCCTCAGCCCTGAAGACTTCTTAATAAGCTGGTCACACTCTGTGCAGAAGTCAGTCCCAGTCAGGACACAGCATGGACATGAGGGTTTCTGCTTGGCTCCTGGGGCTCCTGCTGCTCTGGCTCCCAGGAAAGAAAGGGAACATTAGGAATTTACTCAGACAGTGTGCTAAGCACTACCTATCTCTTCAGGGAGGGCTTCTTATAACATGATTGATTGTGTAGATGTTTGTTTTTATGTTTTCAATCTGAGGTACTAGATGTGACATCCAGATGACACAGTCTCTATCCTTCCTGTCTGCATCTGTAGGAGATAGAGTCACTGTCACTTGCCATGCGAGTCAGGGAATTAGCAATGAATTACCCTGGTATCAGCAGAAACCAGGGAAAGCCCCTACACTCTTGATCTATGCTGCAACCAAATTGCAGTCGGGAATCCCATCTCAGTTCAGTGGCAGTGGATCTGGGACAGATTTCACTCTCACCATCGGCAGCCTGCAGCCTGATGATTTTGCCACTTATGACTGTCACCAGGATGACAGTTACCCTCCACAGTGTTGCAGGCCATAACAATAACCACCCAGTGAAGCAGATGTGTGAGGCTGGGCTGCCCCAGCTGCT